TAAATAATCGAGTCTGGACCAGATAATCCAGGGATCAACAGTATGAACATTGATCTACGCAATTTGGAACCGATGACATGTGTCAACCTCAGTCAGCGAGCCTGACCACCCCATCCCGTTAGTCGCCTCTTACGACAAGCATGGGTTACTGATCAATTCTAACCCGGGCCTTCACGGGTCGGAAGTTAATATGACAGAAAGAAGACTACGGAAGATATCAGAGATCATCAGATTGATCACTGTTGCAACATTTCATACCTCAGTGGAAATTTCAAAACGTGATATTGTGGTTTAAGACATATGACTAATCCGTGGATATTGTCAAGGGTGATTCCCTATTTGACTTGTACCACTTTTCATTTGAACGATAGACTTGCCTTTGCATGCTTTTGTGACTCTGACTATTGTCGGGACAGAATACGCTCTCCTTTTCGCGAACACCACTGTTTGATAGTGATTCACAATCTGATGTAGTTGGAATCGCTCAATGGACGCTGTTAATTACAGATTATTTAAAAGAGCCGATGTCAGAATGGTACAATGGACTTGTGATAGAACTGTAAAATGTGTTCACAAGATGAACACATGCAAAACATGCTTTTGCCTTTGAATGGCTGTCAGAAATGACACAAGGGAGAATAGTTATAGATGTCAACGAGGAACACAAAGTTTCGGAGTATATGCTTATAGCTCCTTCATGAGGTGACAGCATGCTAGACAGCGGCAAGTCCAATGGTGGCAGGCAATCAGCGGTCCGAGTCCCCGAGGACGTAAACAGCAGCTGTGGACACCAATACACTGGAGAAACCTTTAGACCTTTCAACAATGAACATCAGACCTCTGTCAACGAACTAGACCAGAAATCGGCATTTTTTGAAAACATCAACAAGAGCCAAGACGTACCACACAGTCATTTGAGAAGCTACCAAAGTCCTGCCACCACCATCAGCTGGTGTCAAAGGAAACTACTGGAGGTGATTGCTATCAGGACATAGCTGACAGCCATGACTTCCATTGGTACAAATTAGCTAATGCTGCTAATACCAGTCTGTGCATTTACCCTAAAACATATCGTGTTCTTCCAACGATATGTTTTTCATAATAAAGAAGTTGACATCAGTACAATTATCTCCTTAAACATGTTTAGGAATGTGTTTAAATCCTAAACGGAAGTGACACCTGGAAATATATATGTAAACACGTTTAGGACCGAAACATATAAAACAAAGTCGTCTCAGCCTTCAAACCACCTAAACACAAGGCCCTCATAATCTAAATAGTTTATAACTTAAGGAAATCTGGCACATATACAGCTACAGCTAGCAATGAGCTTTGTATTATATTAACACAAAAATGTTCACATTAACCAACCTGACAGCAGAAAGTATATCGGATTAATGCGTCCTCCACCATACTTTGACATCGCCATTAGACGCTAAAACAATAAAAAAGCGCCCCTTCCATGTTTAAAATAATATCTACAATGAACTTTAAGTGGAGGATACCAGTCTTTCCGATATTTAGACCCTCAACAGGTTTAGCCGTTGTACACAATTGCCAAAAAATGTTTAGGCATTAAACATGTCCAAATTATGGTTTTGTGTTTTGGATCTAACACATTTTTAGTGTATGGGAAGGGTTTTGTCGCTTTTGTTTCCCGTCCTCCTTTCAGGTTTAACAGTCGTTACATTTACACTTAGTACACAAGGCGTCAGAGGAAGTTCACATGGGGGAAGTTCACACATTCACCTCGCTATCATTTCAAACCTCACTGAGAACGTGTTCCCTGAATAATCGTTGATATGGCAACACGTAGACGTGTGTCTGTGTGCATCCTAAACCCGCACCTCTCAGAGAACAGGTGAGGTGAGCAGATCGATACACCTTAAGACCAGACCGGAAGTGATGAATCATGATGGATGGTAAAAGTGTGTCATTGTGGCTTAATTGCGGATGTGATATATAATGGTTGGTGTGATGTTTGTCTGGTTTAAATGTAACCGCAATCAGCAATATCAACCCTTCTTTAGAGGGTCGTGTAATTGATCGAATCTGTGCCGGACAAGTCTGGTATTGTTATTATGAATAACATAAGTAGGATGACAAGTATTAAAAACCTACTGCTACTTTCGGTGGTACTGAAGAATAAAGCAGTAGAGAGGGGGAAATACTGCCATTTGAATTTTCATATTTTGTTTGTTTGCGGATACTAATATTACTGTTGAATTGTGTAAAGTGTCATTTGATATGCATGTAATGTTACTTGACAGGTCAAGAGTCACGACTGTTATCTTCTTTAGTATTTGAACTGTGTTTAGTATTGGAATTATTGCCCGTTTCACCACCATGGTGTATACATTTCCATTTACGATAGTAAAGTGCTACTCAAGCCCGTGAAGTTCCGGATAGTCTGTCTAACAGTCCCTGGACCACAGTATTTTCCCTACTACCAAGCCCTCTCTGCAGTGCTAAAGCCCTAAATTAAGCAAATCTAGATTTCCTCAGGTTCAGGTTCTGAATCTCTGGTCTCCCTTGGGCTCCTTTTCAATATAAATGGGCTTGTTTGTTACTATCAAAATTATATATATTCAGAGACTAAGCATTAGTCTAAGTTCCGGGTTACAGTTGGTCTTATAGGCGACGGACGGGATCGGGTGGGCGACGGACGGGATCGGGACGGACGGGATCGGGTGGGCAGGATGTCTGACTTGGTTAATGCATGCCATAGTATCCAGGGGCGCAGCTGCCATTATAAAAACACCACGGGCTTGCACATGATTGTTGCAAAAAATGTTGGGCAAGCTCTCAATACTATCTAAATATAAAGCTTTGCAACCTATCGAGCTTACACGAAAAATGGCTTCCTACGCGCTTGGTATTCCAGTTACCTAAATGGATGCTCATTACATCAATCACGTGACTGTCTGGTCGAGCTGCATTTACTTGCAGGCCTCTGCAATATAGCTGGAATATTGCTGAGTTATATTTTATGATCGATGAATATGTACAATGTTATAGAGCCCAGTGCACTAGCAGATTGCAATGCGTAATGTTAAAACAAAGTGCAGTTCGAGGATTTAGTTGGGGTTTTGTAACGGTTGATAAATAACTATACCTAAATGTTTTCCCTGTGAGAAACATCTGATCCACCTTTTGCCATCCATTGAACTGTCTATGACTCAATGTCCCTACATGCATGTAAGTGTGATTGAACGAACTGGGCTTTATCGACATTGATAGGATTTTATTCACATTGCGCTGAGTAAGTTCATTGACCAAAGCAATGGATCGTGAAATACCAGCAGGCATTACTCGTCTAAGGGAAACAACTCTGTGCGGTTTAGACGACTGGATTAACCGTGTTGTAGCACCTCGAGTCTGCTGCGTGTTTTTACCACAGTCTACTTCCGGACATGCACAATATAACATCTGTGTAGTCGGGTTATATATTACTTTTGTTAAGGATCACAATTATCGCATAATATCAGAATTTCCTATCTTCAAGCAGCAAGCTAGGGAGTTGCAATAGGGAAATATATTTTCGTGAGTTGTTTACTCCACAGTGTTTCTCAACGTTGGTCAAGTATATGGTGTCACATGATAGAATTCAAATATTTCCAAGAGCAGCGTCAGTCAATGACTCTCCATCAATAGAATATATAATTCAGATATGTAAAAGATAATTATAGCTGGTTGATGACAATGGCGGTTGACGGCAGAGACCCGAGTTCATCTTATCAGAGAGACATCCTTGGGGACCAACCATCCTGATGGGGATCAGATAGTTCCCTTAGAAACGGGATATTTTCTGAACCACCTTTTCAAAACATACAATATTCATGGAGCAGAACGTGTCTTCATTCTCATAATACACATACTTTCACGATATCCATATGTCCATATGTTAGTTTTCTTGTTGTCGAAACTGGAGGCTAATTAAATATTTTGCATTAATTTCTCGAACAGGCTGTAGTTTTCGAACAAATTCCAACATGCATACATTCTATTTGGAAGAAGGGTTAAAGAGGGAACAGCAACACGAAGAAAGAACAATGGAAGGCTTGTCAAGATTAGCGTTATGCTATGATTTAACAAACAGCGGGGCAATGCTGTTCACACTTGGTATGGCCGTACACAGAGACATGCACACATAGCATTGCACCCCAGGGTCAGGAAGACCAATTGGAATGATTATCTGTCCCCCATTATCGTGGGTTTTAATACAGTGCAGCGCTGTTGTGGATAGCGATCCTGGTGAAGTATACGATGTACTGGGTACAAAACATCATACAGAAGACAGATATTATTACCAAGAGTGCCATACGCCTGGCGGATACATATTTGATGTAGATTGCGAGCTTTAGCGGTTATAGATCGATGGAGCTGAATGGTTGTAAGGTGGAAGGCAGTCAGTAACAATACCAATCCATTGCTTATTCTAGACATCCGCTAATTGAGGGATCATTAGCTTCACAATAGCAAAGGAAGTTCCCGTTACTCTTATTTTCACCATGTTACAAAAAGATCCATCAAATTCAGTTTTCGTATTTGTCCTGCATTTCCATGTCACGTACTATCGCAGCAGAATGTACACGTTGACAACACGGGAAAATGAAATACTATGAAAATTACTTGTCCAGTTAGTTTCTGCAAAGCTTTAATTTTTATGGCAGACATTCGGACATTTCCAAATAAAACGCATTGATAAAAATTATGGCTGATGCAATTCCCTAATTTCATTTAACCGTATGGTTCTTTTTTTATTACAGGTAATAAATTGATATGCCTTTGGCGCAATACTTTAATCTGTTCACGAACATCTTCGATCAATATTTCATAATGATCCATAAACACATGTTCATGAAATATTTGGAATCGTTCAGTCAAATCTGGGTGAAGCGTAACTTATGAATCTGTGAAGGGCTTTGTCGCTTATATTTTCATTTTATTATGTGTTTATTTTCATATCCACATTCAGGGAGTTTTACATGTCCTTTCAGGCTAAGATAGCTGCACTATACCGGTATCCTGATGTCGTCGTATGGTGAGACTGTGGAGGAGATGTCTCCGAGGGTCAGCACGCAGGTAAAGAAGGAACTGACAAAAGGCCCCGACACTAAAAACTATGTCCTACCGAGTATAACTGTACGGCGCAGTCCAATGAAGGACTCCATGCTGCTGTATTCCGATCACATGCACAAACTGACGCTGGAGAAAAAGGGAAGTAAGTATCACCTGACGCCACGTGAAGATCACGCGCACTTCGCTCCCCAGAATGTACACGTCTCCAGCAGTCGACGGAAGGCGTTGTCATTGAATGATTTGATAGACAGACGGAAGAAAACACTCCACGACAAAAGAGGTAAACCTAAATCAGCTCGAACACTTCCCAAACGAAGACTGAAACATCTAGCACCAAGGAATCTTCGAATAAGCTTTGTCAGTGCATCTGATCTCCATGAAATCATAGATTACAGTCTTACTTGTAAGGGATCACTGTGGGAAGATGACAAATCATTAAAATGTGTGCCGCGAGGGATTCCCGCAGACAAAATAGAGTATAATGATGCATCAGATAATTCAGGAAGACCTAGCGACTGTGAGAAATCTTCTTTAGGTGAAGACACTAATCAGATTTCCGCTCATTTGGACGGCAGCGCTCCATTAGTCGGCGATCCTCCGCTACAGTCGCATAAAGTCAACAATGTCACTGACCTTGCGAAAGCGGAGACTATTTTGTCCTCAAGTGTGAAACGACACACAAGAAGCTTCGCCAGATATCGACCTCGGCGGGCTAAACGCATGCACCTACAAAGTCCCGACCTAGGCGTAATTCCAGAAGGGGATGGTTTCGGTGCTGGCGAGATACTTGATGAACACTTTACCTTCAACCAAGAAACCCATCCTTCAATGGCATCATTGAAAGCCATAAAAAAGTCAAAAGCAAAACGAAATGATGTATTTGTTTTACCGCCTCTAAATATTAGCCATGCACCTGACGCACGTGCGAGACATACTAATTTCAATGTAACCCAGTTTCCACCAAACGTTAAGCATGTGGAGTCTGAAGACAAAGACGCTCTGGTCACTCCACCCATTGACAAGAAATATGTTCTCATTCCACCCGAGAAGTTGCGATGTGCGCCAGTTCTGAAAGGGCGCCAGACTTCTGATAAGCGGGACGTCCCCGTGGAGTCCACGAGCTCAAGCACACACAGTGACGACAAACTTCAAACAACCAAAACAAGTCAAGGGCCCATAAAAACATGCAAAAGCTTGTTTTTCTAAGAGATTACCCTCACAAGCATTATCATCGAGACTAAGCTCCCGGTTGAAGATGCCGAGCACTCGTAATGCCAGTAAGCTTATAGATACAACAATTATCTCAACGTCCTTCCAAGCCAGGATTTACCCCACCTCCTTCCCATGTTTACGTACAGAGAGCATACAGCTTAAACGATGCACTTATTTCATGATTACAGTCACGTGGACCTAGAAATGGCAGAGTCGTTCTTGTCTCTACTTCAGACATTGGCATCTCCTGTCACGGAAACGTTACTAACAAGATTATGGCGGACAAGTAACAGGAAAGCTAAACAGGTGTGAAGATAGCTTCCAAATGAGAGGTATTTTGAAGTGGTGATCCGGAGCTTGAGTGGCAGAAAGCATTACAGTTTCCAACAGATCTTTAGAGTAAGGTGTATGTAGGGAGTGAGTGAGTGAGTGAGTTGGATTTTACGCCACTTTTAGCAATATTCCAGCAACATCACGGCAGGGGACACCATAAATGGGCTTCACACATTGTACCCAGGGTAATCGATCTCCACCGCCCCTAACGTGTATGTATGTTGTGGGGGATACATAGTTGTTTCAAACTGCAACACAAAACCGACACGTGTGTTAGAACAGACTATAATGGCGGTCAACACCGTGCGGACTTTTCGACCACCTCTTTGTCAAGCAGGTGTTTCCAGGAACATATTATGATGGATTCCCAATGGCCTTACTTTGAACTTTCCCCAGAACAGGACATCACTTTCGCACATTAAGGTTGTTCGTTAGGTCGTGTGTGGGGGAGTCCCACACACATTATCGTTGTGAAGTGTTTGCAGTACATTCGCCCACACCATAACGTTGTAGGCGGTATGCGGTAGAGTTGCCACACCTTAACGTTGTAAGCGGTATGCGGTAGCCCACACCTTAACGTTGTAGGCTGTAGAGCTGCCCCACCGTAACGTTGTAGGTGGTATGCGGCACAGCCGCCCAAAACATTAACGCTATAGGTGGTATGCGGTATGCGGTAGAGTAACCACACCTTAACGTTGTAGATGGTAGAGTTGCCACACCTTAACGTTGTAGGTGGTATGGGTACAGTCGCCCATACCTTAACGTTGTAGGTGGTAGAGTTGCCACACCTTAACGTTGTAGGTGGTATGGGTACAGTCGCCCACACCCTAACGTTGTAGGTGGTAGAGTTGCCACACCTTAACGTTGTAGGTGGTAGAGTTGCCACACCTTAACGTTGTAGGTGGTAGAGTTGCCACACCTTAACGTTATAGGTGATAGAGTTGCCACACCTTAACGTTGTAGGTGGTAGAGTAACCACACCTTAACGTTGTAGTTGGTATGGGTACAGTCGCCCACACCTTAACGTTGTAGGTGGTATGGGTACTGTCGCCCACACCTTAACGTTGTAGGTGGTAGAGTTGCCACACCTTAACGTTGTAGGTGGTAGAGTTGCCACACCTTAACGTTGTAGGTGATAGAGTTGCCACTTCTTAACGTTGTAGGTGGTCGGTAACCACACCTTAACGTTGTAGGTGGTAGAGTAACCACACCTTAACGTTGTAGGTGGTATGGGTACAGTCGCCCACACCTTAACGTTGTAGGTGGTATGGGTACAGTCGCCCACACCTTAACGTTGTAGGTGGTAGAGTTGCCACACCTTAACGTTGTAGGTGATAGAGTTGCCACACCTTAACGTTGTAGGTGGTAGAGTAACCACACCTTAACGTTGTAGGTGGTATGGGTACACCACACCTTAACGTTGTAGGTGGTAGAGTAACCACACCTTAACGTTGTAGGTGGTATGGGTACAGTCGCCCACACCTTAACGTTGTAGGTGGTATGGGTACTGTCGCCCACACCTTAACGTTGTAGGTGGTAGAGTAACCACACCTTAACGTTGTAGGTGGTATGGGTACAGTCGCCCACACCTTAACGTTGTAGGTGGTAGAGTTGCCACACCTTAACGTTGTAGGTGATAGAGTTGCCACACCTTAACGTTCTAGGTGGTATGGGTACAGTCGCCCACACCTTAACGTTGTAGGTGGTATGGGTACTGTCGCCCACACCTTAACGTTGTAGGTGGTAGAGTAACCACACCTTAACGTTGTAGGTGGTATGGGTACAGTCGCCCACACCTTAACGTTGTAGGTGGTAGAGTTGCCACACCTTAACGTTGTAGGTGGTAGAGTTGCCACACCTAACCACAGGTGGTTAACGTTGTAGGTGGTAGAGTAACCACACCTTAACGTTGTAGGTGGTATGGGTACAGTCGCCCACACCTTAACGTTGTAGGTGGTGTGCGGTACAGTCGCCCAAAACATTAACGCTATAGGTGGTATGCGGTATGCGGTAGAGTAACCACACCTTAACGTTGTAGATGGTAGAGTTGCCACACCTTAACGTTGTAGGTGGTAGAGTTACCACACCTTAACGTTGTAGGTGGTAGAGTTGCCACACCTTAACGTTGAAGGTGATAGAGTTGCCACACCTTAACGTTGTAGGTGGTATGGGTACAGTCGCCACGCCTTAACGTTGTAGGTGGTAGAGTTGCCACACCTTAACGTTGTAGGTGGTAGAGTAACCACACCTTAACGTTGTAGGTGGTAGAGTTGCCCACACCTTAACGTTGTAGGTGGTATGGGTACAGTCGCCCACACCTTAACGTTGTAGGTGGTAGAGTAACCACACCTTAACGTTGTAGGTGGTATGGGTACAGTCGCCCAAAACATTAACGCTGTAGGTGGTATGCCGCACCTTAACGTTGTAGGGATAGAGTTGCCACACCTTAACGTTGTAGGTGGTAGAGTACAGTACCACACCTTAACGTAACCACACCTTAACGTAGGTGGTATGGGTACACCTTAACGCGTTGTAGGTCGTACCCACACCTTAACGTTGTAGGTGGTAGAGTTGCCACACCTTAACGTTGTAGGTGGTATGGGTACAGTCGCCCACACCTTAACGTTGTAGGTGGTAGAGTAACCACACCTTAACGTTGTAGGTGGTATGGGTACAGTCGCCCAAAACATTAACGCTGTAGGTAGTATGCGGTATGCGGTAGAGTTACCACACCTTAACGTTGTAGGTGGTAGAGTTACAACACCTTAACGTTGTAGGTGGTATGCGGTACAGTCGCCCACACCTGTAGAGCCGCCTTAAATGTGTTTGTGCATTTACATGATAATAAATGAAACTGTGCGAGGTAATGTTTTTTTCTCTTGTACTCAAATTAAAATGCTGGATGAATAAATTTATTATATCTTCATTAAACAAGCAAAGAGACGAAATCACTGGCGAAACCGATAAAGTAATTCAAATGTTGGTAAAACAATAGTGAGAAACGAATGCGGACTTGAAACGTAAGTATATAAGTCACTTTACACGTCAAACTCAACAGAAGTAATAGTTTGACTGAGTGAGTTTGGTTTTACGTCGCTTGTAACAGTATTCCAGCAATATCACGGCTCGGAACACCATAAATGGGCTTCACACTTTGTAGCTATGTGGGGAATCGAACCTGGGCCTTCGGCGTGATGTGCGAACGCTTCAACCACTAGGCTACCCCACCGTCCCAAAGGAACAGAATGCCATGGTTTTAAACAGCTTTACATTAGCGGATATCACCAGAGGGAGTAAAAGGTTAACTGTGACTTATATTGAAAGGAGCAAATCGAGTTAAATCGGCTTTCTGCAACACATACTACTGAAGATTTTGAACATAAATCACTGGTTAAAAAAACTGGAGCTTGGTACTCAATCCAACTGTCACTTAGAAAACAATCCTAAAGCAAAAATGTTTTACTGGAGAAAAAACTCCAGAATGCTTTGATCTGTTTATAAAAATATATCTAGATGCAAAGAAATACACATGGTCTTAGAAGCCAAAACACTAGTCTATACGCAGCTTCTGCTTTGTTTCACAAGACTCTACATGTAACTCTTGATTCGACAATTCTAACTATACTAATTTGACAACTCTGCAATATCTTTGACCTTTTCAAATAAATAACCTTGTTGACCTTAAATAAACTTAACAAAGGACGGGTTAAGGGTTGTGTCAAATTGAATACAACTTTACTGTTTAGGAAAACATATGTCTCAATAGTGAAATATACCAGCAGAAACAAATGTAGACTATTGTGACATTAAATGTGCTCAAGATAAATTGAGAAAAAATGAAGATCTAGTGAAGAAATAAAACTTGGAATACAAAATCAGTATTTCTCCTTGAGAAATATTTTTCATGAAAGTGAGAAGCAAATCAATATTGTTTCCCGTTTATGTAAAGAAAAACAAACATTAAGAAAGCAAACATATGTAAGAAAAGATGAAGCAGAAGAAAAGAATACGAGTACATTTCAGAATATACCTGAATCTTAGCCGTCAGATTTATCTCAATATAAAAAGTAACCTTATAGAATCAATGGGACTATAAACTTAACTAGGAACTAAATCCAGTGTTACAATGGAGGGGATAATAAATAAACATATTGTTTTCATCTTGAAAACAGAAACTATACCAGTAAATAGGTTCAGTTTTATATGCGATAAGCTGAAATAATATGTCCAAACTGTACGCCTGGATAAATTACCAATGAAACTAATAATATGATATACTAGTATTGCACAAACGTAATTCACCCAAACTGAGTAAATCAAGTTCAATACAAACAATTATATAACTTGGATGAAATAACAATGGCTGGATATCGTTTGAATATTAACAAAAACTCACATATTGATAAATTCTTTAAAGAGATTTTCAAAGTTTTCTGCAAAGATTTCGAACTATGGGTAAACCGGTACATTACCGAAACAGGTATAAGTAACACTTTGAGTGTAATAATTAACAGAAGCATCATTATTTCTATCCCATAGGCTCTGAAGATAAAAACTACAACAAAATCGGCGACCAAGTAAGCTCTCAACTGTAAAATGCATCAACGTTTGAGTTTATGTATAGTAAACAGTATAAAGAGGTCAGTAACACTTTTATACAAGAAAACCAAACTTGATATATCCCCAGAGTGAG